TGTTTAACAGTAAAATGGGAGCTAATAATGGTGCATACTTAAAAGGTTTGTGGGGATTAAGTAGGGAAATTAACAGTTAACTGTTCAAACTGTATTTCCCTCCAAGGCACTTCACAGACTTCTGTCCCCGAAAGGGAATGTCCCAATGGTACAATTAATCCTGCAGGAATCAAGCTGATAACGCTTTCTGCTCCGTTTACAGTAGCCAATCAGAAATCCTCTAATAGTCTTAAATCTCCTGCACAGTTAGATTGTGCATCTGTGCTGTCACATAGGAAGGAGGCTTACTGGAGAGGTCCCCAAGAGCTACCACTAATAAAACTCAACTCCTTCATTTTCAGTCAGACTATGGCATCAGCTCTGAATAGACTCCAGAATCCCACATGGGCAAGGAACCTTCCAAGGCAAAGATCCCCAAGGGTGAAGGGCCCAAGGACTCTGCTCCAGACTCTGTTTTGGACAGATGCCCACCACTACAAGCTTCCTGGTTCTCTTCTGAAACCCTTGTTTCCCCTCTCTAAGCCCCTTCTTTCACCACCTCATAACAACTGACTACCCTGTCCCTCTTGAATTCTATCCAATTCCGTGTGCTGTCTTGTGCCTGTGCTCAATATGCTTGATTTTTTACCATCCTGTAGTGGAGACCCTCATATCTAATATCTAATAGGTTTCATATGACCCACACGAAGACTGTGAATCATGGAGTCTTCCTTTTTTTTTTTTTTTTTCCTTTTTTCTTTTTTGGTCTTTTCGTTTTGTTTTGATAGGGTCTTAGTCCCAGACCCGCAGGAAGTCATTATGTGGACCAGGCTGGCCTCTACCTCAGAGATCCACCTGCCTCCTGAGGGCTGGGATTAAAGGTGCTCTGTGCCTCCACGCCTGGTTATGAATCATGGTTTATTCCACTTAAATGTTTGGTGATGACTTTGAAAAAGGGAAGGCACTCTCCAGCGCTATAACAGCCTTATCCCTGCCTATTTTATTATACCTAGCAGCTTCTACCATCACATAGTGTAGTAATTTAATCATAATAGGTTCTGTCATAGCATTTCTAAAAATATTTTATTTATTATTTTATGTGTATGAGTGTATTGCCTGCATGTATATGCACCCGTGTCATGCACTGCCACAGAGGTCAGAAAAGGGTGTCAGATTCCCCTGGATCTGGAGTTAAGAACCGTTCATAGCCACCATGTGGGTACTGGAAATCGAACCCTGGTCCTCTGCAAGAGCAGTCAGTGCTCTTAACCGCTGAGCCATCTCTCCAGCCCCTGTAACAGCATTTTTAATTGAGTAGCTGTGCTAGATAGCTTTAGTTATCAACTTGACACACCTGGGTAGAGGGAGGCCTCAACTGGGTAATAGCTTCCATTGGACTGGCCTGTGGCCATGCCTGTGTGGCATTTTCTTGATTGTTGAGTGATGTGGGAAGGCCCAGCCCACTGTGAGCAGTGCCAGCCCTGGGCAGATTGTTGTGTGTTATATAAGAAAACAGGCTGAGCTGATTACAGGCCACAGGACCAAACCAGTAAGTAACCATGGCCCATGCTTCATCTCCTGCCTCCAGGTTCCTCCCCTGAGTTCTTACCTTGGGCCCCCTCAGTGATGAACTGTGACCTGTGAGGTATGAGCCAAATAAACACTTTCCTCCCTAAGTTGGTATTGGTCAGGGTGTTTTGTCACAGCAATAGGGAAGCTAACTGAGACAGGAGCCATTGGGGTAGATGCATTCAGAGCTTGAGGTTCCCAGGGTGAACAGTAAAACAAAGACTTTCCCAGTCAGAAGCCACCAACTAAACTCTAAGGACTGTCTACTGTAGCTGATCAAATAATCTCCTTTGCCTGGTCTGTGGATGTTTTATAAAAGTTTCTCAAGTCACAGGCCCACTGGAGCACTAAACAGCTTGGGATGTGGTGCTGCTGACTTTTTTAATTTCTGTCTGCCCAAACATAAGCTCTTTAAAATCTGAATGTCCTTAAATTTGTCTTTTGACAGTTCCAGTGTGACAGTACTGGGTGAGGTCTTCCTGGTTCTGATCTTTCTCTGTCATTTAGTGTGTGTGTGTGTGTGTGTGTGTGTGTGTGTGTATGAGTGTTTTGCCTGTATGTATGTAAGTGCACCTCGATGTATGCAGTGAGGCCAGGAGAGGGAGTCAGATCCCTGGAACTGAACTTACAGACAGTTGTTATTTACCATGTGGGTGCTGGGAATTGAACCTGGGTCCTCGGCAAAAGCAAGCAGCACTGAGCCATCTCTTCAGCCCAATTTATTTTTAAATACAGGGTCTCATGTATTCCAGGTTGGTCTCAAACTCCCTATATAGCTTTTCTAGTTTCCCTTCTGTTGCTGTGATAAATACATGACAGAAGCAAGTTTAAGGAATTAAGGGTTTATTTGTCTCATAGTCCCAGGTGACAGTCCATCACTTAGGGAAGTCACAGGACAAGAACAGCAAGAACTTGAGGTAGCTAATCACATGGCAGTCAGTCAGGAACAGAGTGAGAAATGAATGCCTGCTTGCCTACTACTCTTTCTCTACACTTACACAGTTCAAGACCCAAACTGGAGAAGTGGGGCTGCATACTTTTGTCTGTGCCTTTCCACATCAATTAACACAAGACAGTCCCATACAGCCATACCCACAGTCCAGCCAGATCTACACAATCCCTCATTAAGACTCTTCCCAGGTGATTCTCGGTTGTGTCCAGTTGACAGAAGTAACCATCCCAATAGCGAAGGATGAACTTGAACCTTTGATCCTCCCTCATCCTTCTGGGATTACAGGCTATAGACTACGGGCCCCTGCCACCACAGTTGTTTTAAGTAGTGCTGGGAATGAAGCTCGGGGCTTCATACATGCCAGGCAAGCACTCTCCCATTTGAGCTACATCCCTGGCCCTAATTTTTCACTTCTGTGTTTTATTTCCACAGAAGACAAGGTGGCTTGTTCAGAGCCATAATGGTCTTGCCATTTCAGCTGTTCTATGTTGGAAAGAGCCAGTGCTCACCAAGTCCTTCCCTGGAGCCACCTTAGTTCTTAGTTTTTATTTGAATTTCTCTCTTCACCATGAAAAGGAAGCCTTTCCTTATGATCCATTATAGCTACTGAATTTTTCAAGTTTTGCTATTTGAGATTTTTTTTTAATTTTATGTGTATGAATGTATTGCCTGCATGTATGTGAGTGCACCCATGTCGTGCAATGCCACAGAGGTCAGAAGAGGGCTTCAGATTCCACTGGAACTGGAGTTAAGGGTGGTTCGTAGCCGCCATGTGGGTGCTGGGAATCAAACTTGGGTCCTCTGCAAGAGCAGTCAGTGCTCTTAACCTCTGAGCCATCTCTCTAGCCCCACATTGAGAACTTTTTTATGTGCAGAATGACTCTGAGTCTTGGATTCTGGAAAACACGTTCCAGGAGAAATCTTGGAAATCTTGTGTCGTGTCTATTTTTCTGTCTTCTGTTGTGCTGTCATTTCTTGAGCACTGTGAAGTTGTATCATAATCATTCATCAAATCATTTTTAGTGATGGGCAATTAGCCAGGCATGTATAGATTGCAATGTGTTGGCCATGAAACATATATTGAGTGTGTGACTATGTGAAATCTACTTCAGAAATAATCTTATATTCTAGAAATGTAACTGTGTGTCTTACAGTGAAATTCCACTATGGTTCAACAGAGCTTTTCCAGGTAAAGAAGAATCAAGTTTGGGCCCCGAGGAAAAGATTAGTTCATGATTTTTCAGAAGTATAAGTTTGCACATGAGTCTCAGTGCTGTTGAGAAGGAACTCGAATGGAGTTTGGACATTCTAGTCTAAGGCTCTGCCATGCCCATCCCGCTCAGCTGTCATGGTGCTAAATCTTCTTCAGCTGTCGTATTCTGTTAGTTTTTTGATAGGAGTTTTCTAACTGCAGTGGAAATCACAAATGAACTAAATAAGCATGTTGGATTTGCTTCCTCTTTAACTTTGGAGAAATGTAGTAACATATTTATATCTTATTTTTCTCATGGAATTATATATATAACCAAAATTGATAACCTAGGTGCCTGTTAGTTACCTTTTCCATTT